CCCCAAAACCCCAAAACCCCAAAACCCCAAAACCCCAATTTAGGAAATTCAGATTGAAATTACTTCTCATGGTGACCACATGAGTTCTTGGAGACAAAGAAACTCTTCCCTTGAGGTCTCTGGAAGTCACCTATTAACTTAAGGTTCGCGAAGAAGTTCATCCCATCACTGGAGAGGTCATTAGTTGTGCTTTCCTTCTGGAAGTCAGTGAAGCCGTAATTTGGAGGGCACTTGGAGAAGCTCAAGTTTCGACCTCTCTTCTATGAATTATCCTCAACTGCTTACATCATTAAATAGTTGATCCTTAATTTTCCAGTTCTGGGCCTCAGTATAATTCTTCTCAGCCGATAGGTTTTCCTGTGTCAAGAAGGACTGATCAGGGTAATTAAATAAGCTCCCTTTCTTCCTGTAAAGTTTCTTTTTCTATGACAAATAGTGACAGAAATATTACATTCTTTACTCTTTGCAGGTAGCTTTGAGCAGTGGCTGTGTAATCCACAGAATTTTTCTTTATCTGCCCTCTTTTCTTATACAACTGCACTGGCTCTGATTTCTCTTTGGTGAATCTTGGCATCGTCTCTAACCCAAGAGAAATTTGGTTTCGGCTTCTAGAGGATAAGTTTTAGGAGTTTACGTTGTCTCAAAACTTGATTGGTCGTAGTTCTTCAGATTTTTCTCTATCTTGTGATAAGTATACTGATCCAAACTGCTACCGACATCACCATAGTTTTCAATTTCAGGTTGGCTAAACTTACTATCCTTGCTAGGCTTTCTCTTGATTTTAATATTATAGAAATTAAAAGAGGCAGACTCATCCTCTCAAGACCTCTGTCTGGGAGCTTGCTTGGCCTCAACACTTAAATGCTCCTTAACATAACGAGAGATGCTATATTTTGGACGGCTGACAGGTTTAGAGCGAGGGCTGACACTTCTCTTATCAGGCAACTTTTGCGCTATATTAGCCTTTTTGGTGACCAGCATTTTTCTAGCCTTATTTTATACTAAGATTCCTAGGAAATTTATTTCCCATTTTAAACTTCTTAACTTGTTTATACAAACTAAAGTTTCTATTGATCATGACTTTTCGACCAGAATTCCTAGAGTAAAGTCATGTCTTACTTTCGAAGCTTGATTCGTTGGAAAGGAGTTAATTTTGGGGTTTTAGAGTTAAAACTAGGCAAAAAAGAATCCTTCTGCTTGACAGCTGATTTTTCACTCTCTCTCGGTCTATTCTTAGTGTTAAGTATTTACCTGGGTCTTATAAAAGCAAGACTTTGAGTTCGCTTCTCCATTTTTATAGGTCTACAATCTGTTTCAGAACTTGAATTGTTCTTATGGGCTTCGTCCTGATGCTCCTCTGAAGGGGATATTAATGTGCCTAAGAAAATTACATAAGCTGCCAGAGGAAGATTCTAAAAATGCTCAAAGCTTACTATTTTTCCTCACATATCAGAACTGGCAGATTCAGGTTTACCTGAACAACTTGTTTTGGCCGCTGCTTTTCTGGGTTCTGAGTGCTTTTTCTTTTTGATCTATGTGACATCGTTATAAGATTGTAGAATTTGCTGATAATTTTATATAATTTCTGCTGATTCTTAAATTCGTGGGGTTTTGGGGTTTTGGGGTTTTGGGGTTTTGGGG